AGGGAAAGATGAGAAATGTTTGGTGGTAACCTCCCTCGCTCTCCCGCACCACAACAGTTTTTTTGAGGAAAAGATAAGAAATTTTTTGGAAAACTGGAACTTGGTAAAACCTAGGTTGGGAAGGGGGAAGGGAGAGGAGAACTTTTGAGCGGTCGTCTCACACTGCCAATCCTCCCATGCCAATGCTGTATCCCGATTGCGCAGCACTGAGTATGAAACATTGCTCTGTATTTTAACAGCTATAAGTTCTTTTACATTTATATTGCCTTATAAAACAAGGCCAAAATATAAACAAATACAAAAACGCTTTTTCAAAGGCAAATGACGAGAAAAAATTGGCGGAGGGTTCGAATACGGACATCAATGTGGGCGCAGATCTACAAGGCACATCGGACGGAATTATGAGACAAGTACGATGCTCATCTACCAACAAGGGCAGATATTAAGTAGACATCATTGAAGCTGCGGCCAGCTTCAGCACACCCAAATGTCTACAATAGAGCCGAGAGAAAGTCTCATATTGAGCATACAAGAAACGAATAATCGAACCAAGTCGACATAGATAGCACAAAGACACCAATTCAATCGTTGTGGGGATTATAAAAGATATAAAAAGGAACATCAATAAAACCACCATTAAAAAAGCAACAGCAACAATAACGATGTGTCTCTGTGAAGGTAAAAACCAGCATAGAAGAGAAATTACATCAACGCTCGTCTGGATAGCAAGGCAGAAACAAGGAGAGTCGTTGTCTACGTACTGCTGACAATACGTCCAAAATGGTCCATGGATGTGATGCAGTTCCCATCTGATACCACCATTCCAGATCGTGACACATGTACGCGCTTCAGGCCGCGTTTTACGTATGCCTTCTCGCTTTCCTGAAACGGCTCTGTACCGTAAAGGGATTGATTATGAAGTCATCATCGTAATCTATCCCTTTTTATGATGAGGCACGCATTCTGCTACCATTCAGGATCGTAGTGGCTTATCGAATGCCATGTAAATAGTAGTGACTTGTGGGACCAACCGATGACCAGAAAACAGTATTCTTATCCTCCCAGACAAATCTGGTACCAAGTTAACCGTTCCCGGGAAAGAGTTGGCTAGGTTAATGCAGTTGGGAGCCAATTCGGAATATGATCCCTGGGGGCTTAGTAAGCGTGCCACTTGCCACAACACCTCCTCTGCCTCTGAAGTCAGTACCCTCTGGAACAAAATATCATCAATTCTGAGACGAAATTAGCGGAGGTTGCTCAATGTTTGCAGCGCATACGAAAACGGAATCATGTCATGGTAGCAGGCAGGGCACGCCATTGCGTTGTGATCATTTCCTGAAAAATACGACCCCCCCCCCTAATTCCATCTTCAAGTACGACCCCTCCCCATGTTACCTCTTCCCTAGATTTTTCCAACCTCCTACCACTTTGTCTATTTTTCCCCAAAAAATTTCTGGTTTTTTTTACAAAATTTTGCTGTCGAGCGGGGGGGGGGTCGCAGTAACATACTACGGTCCCAACACGTCCAGACGTCCAGCACTCTGACGCTGGTGTAGCACTGACAATACGTACGAGGAAGGGGCGATGATAGGAGCTACGATCACCGCCCACAAGGGCTGAATTTATAAACAAACAAAAGGACTCACGACGTGACGATTAATAAACAGATGAAAGTACATTCCGGACTTTTCTGATCGTAGGAGCACATGTGCTTGCACTTGGGAAGCCCTATCTAGAAGTTACACCTTTCCAAAACCTGCGTGAAAGCCCCATGCATGGCGCATTGCACAGGTGATGCCAATTGGCGCCCCATTAGACCATTCTTCAATACCGTTTGCGGAAACTATGTTTTCGAAGGCATCAAAAGGTCTTCGCGAGAGCCAACTGGAGGTTTCCTGGCCTCGGAGGGGTTGATTTTTCGTGTCGTGGGGGTGAGCACGAAATGATCACAACGGGGAATTTTTTCGAATAGCAAGCCTAGGGAGAAAATTAAAGCCCTGCTGGAAAGTAGAAATCTTCAAGCTTCCGGCACAGTTCTTTTTTTTACGAAAGGCCGTGTATGAAGCTTGCCATGGACGTCCAAAGCGTAGCGACTCGCGGTTCGCAAAAATGATCACAGACGGATCACAAAGATGATTCACAGGACGGGGAAAATCTCTGAAACGCGTGAACGTTTTTTTGAAGTCGCTTCAACTTCAGGTGATAAGAGCCAACCTAGCTCTACTCATTCCTACTTTCCCCTCTCCGATAGCTTAACTTTCAACTAAGTTATGGGTGTTCAAATGAGGGGTACTTTCGAGCCGTTTTCGAGCGCGTTTGGCCTTGAAAATCGACTTGGTGGGACGTGAAACTAAAAGCGTACACCAATGAGATCGGGCACTTTTCGGCGCGAACGAAAGTAGGCATACAAAATTTGGCTAAGGATTGTTTTCTTTTCATTTATTTAGTGGTATTTCCAATGCTTTCTAGGTTTCTTTTTAGTTTCTCGGTATTTTTTTAGTTTGTGATCTAGTTTCCGCCACTATTGAACTATTCCCACCCCAGTCTGTTGTAATCAGACCGCTCCTTTATCGTTTTTTTTTCTAGAAGGCCAGATTTGGCTGAAAATTTGCACACAGTGTCACTTCGACCTATTGAGCACGAATATCATATCCGTTTCGAATCGATTTTCGTGATTTGGGGTTTTTTGGCGCAGCGCCACAGGCGCCGCCGCCTATATACCCTAAACCACCAAAATCGATGAAAACTTGTGTTCAGGGGTTATTTGACATCCTGTTTTCAAATATGACATTTATTCCTGGCGCAAGTGTCAGCGTACGTCATCTGCGCTTTGCCGAGACTGAGCCTGGCCTGAGAGAAATCATTCGTTTTCCCAGTTTCAGCCTCAGCAGAGCGCTTAATATGGAGGTACGAAGAAATGATGTCATATTCGTGATCAGGACATTTTGCTGAATAACATCTACTACAAGTTTCAGCAAAATTTTTCTCGACTCCTTGGCGTAGGAATAGTTCAATAGTGATTAGTTCTCTTTATTGTCATTTTCATCGTCCCTTTCGAGCTTCTTTTCACCTGTACCGAGTATCAGTGCTCTCTCCACCTTGGAGTGGGGCGTATGCGCTTACGGAACCCCCCCCTCCATCGCAGGCAGAAATACAGAAATACACCCCCCCCCCCTCCCTGTGATGATGCAAAAGATTGGCGTGCCCTGGTGGAGGACCACACACCTCCACCTTCGACAGCGTTTATTGGTGTTCGGTGTGTATGGCATATACGACCCGTGATTGGACTGCCAAATTAATGTGGCCTGTTCGAAAACGCTGTGAGTGTTTTCATCCTGAGAAATTTCATGAGGGGGTTCGCTGAGGCAGCCACCGCTCCTCAGAAAGGAGATAGGTTAGTGCGACCGGTAAAGCGTTCTGTCAGGCGGAAGAAAAGAAAATGAATAAGCAGGGTATAGAATGTTTTTGCAGTTTGAGAGAATTCTTCGGGAGATATGGTACTTGGCCGCTGGGGAGGACGAGTCGTTTTTGCGGTAGGGGTCGTACGTGGCTTCGAGAGAGCTGCGAGGGACGAAATTTTTGCTTTCGCATATTTTTCCGACCAGGGTAGTTCAACACTCGCAATGTGTTACTGTCTATACCCTCCAAGTGCACGCACCGCAGAGTTACTATGATGCAATTACCATTTCTGGGGGTCGGTTCTGATAGCTGATTGGTGACTACTTCCCCCTCCCCATCTCCCAGTCAACGCCAGTCATCTTAGGAAAAATTTAAACATGGTAAGAAACTTGAAGAATGTAGATTAATAAATGTTAGGTAGAAGAGTATTAAGGTTGTCCGGAAAGTTCTGCATGTTTTATATTACCCCCAATAGTGCTAGAAAGCACTGTGCGGCAATGGCTCAACAAATTTCGTTCTGGAGATTTCAGCCTTGAAGATGAACCTCATAGCGGTCGACCTAAAGCAATATCTGACGAGGATTTTAGGGGGATTTCCGAATCCCCAAATAGTTTCGAAGATAGCAGACAGCCGCTAGGCGTTCCACTGTTGCAGATGGTCTGGAACGCATTGGGAAGGTGAAAAAACTCGACAATTGGGTGCCCCACAATCGGAGTGACCGGCAGGAATCGGCACGTCTCGAGGTTCCTTCTGCATTGCTTTTGCGCAGCAGAAACGACCTGTTTTTGACTCCGAATGTCACCTGTGATGAAAAATGGGTCATCCTATGATAAAGGAGACGTTCCGGACAGTGGTTGGATTTCGACGAACCACCGAGGTAATTTTCAAAGCCGAACCCTCACGAAAAAAAGATTCTGGTCACGGCTTGGTGGTCATCGGCTGTGTGATCCACTATAACTTTTTATCACCACCAGGCCAAACCATCACAGCAGAACCCTACTGTGAAGAAATCGACGAATTGTACCGAAAATTTTGTCAGCTGCAGCCAACACTTATCAAAAGAAAGGGTCCGATTCTTTTGCATGACAACGCCCGCCCACATGTTTCACAAATCACTATCCATAAATTGAACGAATTGGGGGTTGAAGTTCTACCACACCCACCATATTCTCCAGACCTTTCACCAACCGACTATCACCTTTTCAAACATTTTCAGAACTTCCTTGCTGAAAATACTTCATCAATGAGGAACCGGAGGCAAAAGACGACGTAGATTTCGTGGATTCTCGACCACCCAGTTTTTTCTTTTGATGGGATTTCTCGACTGCTGTCACATTGGCAAAAGTGTGCTGATTCGAATGGTGCTTATTTGGATTAAATCCGATGAGTGTTAAGAAAGTTATGATCGTTTAAAGTTAAACCTCAAAACCTGCAGAACTTTCCGGAAACCCTAATAATAAATGAGAGTGTACGTGGAAGAGGAAATTTCCAGGGGGTCGTACACGTATCGTTACGTGCCGTAAAAATAAGCTGCCAAAAACAAGAAATCAGAGATAGTCTGTTCTGTGAAGGAATAATTGCTGATCCCCGCTCAAAGAATTTCATCTTGTGCAGGAAGCAGGATACGTTTGGTACGACGCGTCCCGATGGAGTGGACCGGATTGACCAACCTGCACTCCCATATCGATGTACGAACTGCGCACATGTACTGATGCTGTTGACGGGCTACATTGGATCACTCGTGGACGAGCATCGACGCGACGATTATTATCACGCACATGCGAGTCTGTCGAACGGCCATGACCTGGAAACGTGTGCAAATGTTTGGTGAAAGTTTGACAGTAAGGCTGGCGCTTTATACTTTGTCGGCGGCTTACGTAGCGCTTCCAGTACGCCAAGCGGACAGTGCAGGGGAGAGGAATGCATTATCGATCTACGTTCGCAGGGTCACCCAGTGTAACGCTACGTCAACGCTAGCGTTACCCAGCGCTTCACCAGCGTTTTGCTGGCGTTTGCAGCGGCAGGGGAGTAGAGACTATGGGGCCGTAAGAGACGCGCAATCGATGTGTATTGTAGAGACTATGAGCCCTCAGAGACGCGCAGGTATTGTAGAGGCTGTGTGCCGTTGAGAGACGCCGCACTCGATTGTGTTTTGCACCCCCCTCCAAGCTCTCCCATAGTGATTTACTTCCCCTGCCGCTGAAAACGCTAGCCAAACCGCTGCGTGAAAACGCCTTTGGGGGGCCTATAAACCTAGCGTACGCTTAGCGTTCGCTGGTGACGCTGGAACGCTAGATCGATATGCAGTTCTCTCCCGGCAACCTGACCGCTGGCGTGCCTACGGAGCGCTACGCTACGCTACGATCTGCCGCAAGTATATTAACCCACTAAAACCGTAAGAAAGACTACTACCCGTTTATATGCATTACATAGGGTTCCGTCCTGTTTTAGCGATGCAATAATGAAGCTTTCATGGACGATTTCTTTCGACATTATTGTATACTAAATAATTGGAAACTATGGACTGATAGGTGGAAACTATGAATTTTTGTTGTATTATCGCAGTATTCTCAGTACTCCACTGGTTTCATGCAAATACGGTCCACATGCTTCGAATACCAGTATTTGTTCCCCGGCTGCCGCCGCAGCCCCCTTCCCCACCTTCACACGTGCAGGCGAGGCTACGGGCGAAGGCTACGGCTTTCGTAACCTTATAAGCGGTCGTGCATTGCTCCCTTCATTTTCACGTTAGCAGGTTCAGTTGTCCTGGCATTTGCCATGTTCCCCATTTCCCAGCGTACTCGGCGCCCAGTCTCCCCACCCCACCACCTCACCACCACCTGCCACGTGAGAAGCTCGAAGAGTGGCCAAGACCCTTCCGTTTAAACGTCTTTTACATCAGAGTACTATCACAGCAGTAACACCGCCATATAATCATACCGCTACGTCAACTGGTTTCCAGTTTTGCTAGGGGCGGTCTCCTCTTTTGCTTCCCTTATCTCAATCCAAAGCATGTTGTAGACCGACAGACCTGGCGTATATACCTACAAGCGCAGACACAGACTTACACACTGACAGACATGCAAAGCTACGGAGTCTATGAAATAGGGCCATTCTTTTATATTCTAGTGCTGGAAACAAGTCAGATGAAGCGCTACGTACTTGTGTGCCTGTTTGTGCTTCATGATAGAACAGTCGGATTGAAAAATCGTTTTCCAAATGTCCAGAAGAGAAATCGAGCGTTTCGAGAGACACAGCTGATGGCCCTAAAGTGGATAGGACACTGAAGTGATGGTCGGTGACGGTGCAATCATTTACAAACCTTTGATATGGCTAGAGACAAGGAACGCCTCGTTTAGATGACTCATCGAGAAAAGGATTCCTTCGTTACCGATGACAGCAAGACGGTCATTCGACGCAGCTAAACACAGAGATCAGCACTTTTTGTCACTCCATGTGACAGGTGGGCGGCCGCGTGTGGTCCAATAACTGCCGCCAATGTCGCTGGTATCAGTCGCTACAGGCGGACGTGTCATACTGCGTCCATACTTTGCGGCAGCGTAGTCCAGCGACCACCAGCGTCCAACTGCGACCATCAGCGTTTCGAGCGTCAGCGACTAGGAAAGTATAGATATCGATCTAGCGAATAAAAGCGTCTACCGGCATTCACCACTGCCACCGTCTCGAGGGCTAGGGAAGCATAGGTATCGATCTAGCTTATGCCAGCGTCGACCAGCGTCGACCAGCGTTCACAGCTACCAGGAGTGGAGAATATGGGGAAGTAGGAGGGTAGCAAACAGCTGGACTACGCCCCTTACAACTACACTACACCGTACATTAAGTTGTATAATTCTGTGTTTTAGCAGATGTGCTGCGGTTGTACACGCCCCAATTTCACGACGCCTCAGTCCGCTGTTCTCCTGCCCCATACTCTCCACTCCCGGTCGTTGATGAATGATGGTAGACCCTGGCTGACGCTGACAGGCGGTGAATCGATACGTTCTGACCTCTACTCCCGTCGCTGACAGACGCTGGCATCCGCTAAATCGATATCTATACTTTCCTAGTCGCTGACGCTGCCGGACGCTCGGAACAGTAGTGGACGCTGGTGAACCCTGCCGCAAAGTATGAACGCAGCTTAGAGATGTTGGGTTTGCGTGGCACCAGCGACAAAAGCGGTCTAACACTACACGGCAACTTATGGTTGGTCCTGAACAGACGCAAATCAATAAATGAAGAGGTCAGAACCCATTCTAAATCCACTTCTGGTAGCTCCTTGAATGTAATCGTTAAACCCTCAGCATAAATTCAGAGCCCAGGCATGACGTAGCCATTGGCGGCTATTTTCAGCCAAACCAGTAATTTGAGTAAAACCTACAGAATTTCGTGTACACCATATCGCGAGTGTGCAGCATCCTCGCTTTCTTATGCAGAATACATGATGCTGTTCCGCGACCATTGATGAAGGCCTGAAAACATTTTTGCAAGCTCATTACCAGTTCGGACTACTGTAGCACGACAACCCCTTCGAAGTCAATTAACGCTTGCTTTTCTATTTTGTTGTCAGGCAGTTTCCCCGACACTTTCTTGAGGTCCCAGGAATTATACCCCAAATCCCAGAGGCGCAGTGAGCGTGGTTAAGTACTTGATCGGAACGTGGCGGCGGATGCACTTCTGGTGGAATCTTTCATATCGTGACAATTACAACCTTGGCTTTGCACAACACAAGACAAGACGACAGTTGTTTTAAAGGGTCAGGGAGGCTGGATTCGGCGCGGCGCTATCCTGATCTCCACCAATTGTAGAAGCGGGAGATTGACAGCAATTTATAGGCAACAACTGGTAGATTGGCGCCAAAGCCAGCCACCTGGGCGAGGCCACGTACTTAATTTGAACATGGCATGTGATACGTTTTGCATGGAGTACTTCCATTTGAGACAACTGTCATACTGTTTTGTACTGGCCAGAGATAACAGCTTTCCTAAAAATGCAATATTTCCCCAAAGGCGCAGCAGCCGTCACGTCCAAATGGACACAGACCCACTTATCATCCGGGATATGACTATTCGCACCCTACGACGCTCTAGGGACGAGAGTTATAAGTCAGCATTTCACTTTAAATTCACCCTTTTTCAAACCAAATTCACCTTTTTCAAACCAAATTCACCCTTTTTCAAACCAAATTCACCCTTTTTCAAACCAAATTCACCCCTTTTCAAACCAAATTCACCCTCACTTTTCACATCAAATTAACCACACTTATTAGGGCGGGCAACTCATCAAGCAGATCACGCCAGACATCACTGCGAGCCCGCCCCGACGGCCACGCCTCTTGTTTCATAACTTCTGCTTTTGCTGTTTCCCACGAACACTTTGACTGGAAACGACCGGGCATTGACACATAGCCGACTCCGCTGATTCTCTAAACGCTTGGCAATCTTATTACAGGCTGAATCAAGTTCACTTGCTTTTCGCGGAATTTCGACTTTTTTCAAAATTTTCGCATTTCTAGCTGCTAAAGGGCTGCTGAAGCCCCGCCCACTGTGACAGACTCCGCCCACTCTGAAAAACCCGCCCACTTTTCGAAAATGTTTCCTGTTGGCAGTATAGACGTGGCTTGCATGCTAGCGTCTGCTTCGTCATCGGAACAGAAATCCGCCAAAGTATAATTCCGAATGATCAGCATACCCTATCATGCAGCCAAGGTCTATTATGCACAGGACTATTTACCGGAAAGTGGGCGGGGCTTCTTCAAAGTGCGGTGAAAGTTTTCAACAATTAACCAGGGGCGCGTCTTCACGCAGCGCCCTGAAATGACAAAAAAGTTTGAAAAAATATCGAAAGACCGCGAAAAGCAAGTGGGCGTGGTCAGCCTAGATTGCCCAAACCTTTAGAGAATGGGCGGAGTCGGCCATGTGTCAATGCCCGGTCGTTTCCAGTCAAAGTGTTTGTGGGAAACAGCAAAAGCAGAAGTTATGAAACAAGATTTGAGAATCTATGTCCGCGCTGACAAGTGCGTGGCCGTCGGGGCAGGTTGATGAGTTGACCGCCCTAATAAGCGTGGATTCGATGTGAAAAGTGAGGGTGAATTTGGTTAGAAAAAGGGTGAATTCGGTCTGAAGAAGGGTGAGGGTGTGAATTTAAAGTGCAAAGGTGTATACATGAGCCATCATTGTCCGAGAACGGATGTGCGCTAGTCATTGCTCAGCCAATTCGCTACCATTAGAGTAACTTATGAACTCATTAGAGTTGAGTACTTACAGCAAACTTGTCGTGACACACTACACGAACACAGCGATCGATAGGAGTCATTCGTGATAATAATTGCATGTGCGAGTATTACGGAGATCGAGCCGGCCGGGGAAACGTAGATCAGCGGATATGTAACACGACCGGACTGAAACAACAGGACTTGAGAAAAACTGTAGGGAGGCGGACGGAGAGAAACTCATCGGCGGTGCGTACGACGCGCTTGTCAAGCGATGTCGCAGCGATGGAACGGCTAATTGTAGGTGTCAGACCAGCGACAAACCATCCTGTCACTGTTTAATGGAACGTTCCGAACATTCTGTGACACTTTGCCAAACTATGTCTGGGTCCATTCACAAGCGCGGAAGCTATCAGTAACTTTGACAAGCATGTCCCGTAAACGAGCCTGCTCCCTTCTGCTGAGTCCCTCCCTTCAGATGTATTCCTCAGCTTCATTCCGCGCTGGAATTGTTCACCATTCATCTTCTGATTTTCTCCTCATTTCCATGGCCTCATGTTGCCTTTCACGTATCGGTGACGTTTCAGCGAATTCCTATCCTTGGAGTGCTGTAGCAGTGCGCTGATCTTGCACCCCCTTCCACGCGCTGTTGCTGCAGCGACACCAAGCACGCATCGCGTACGCACCGCCGGCGAGTTTCTCCGTGGAGCTCGAAAAAAACGGAATTGAACTCGCCTCAGTACGAAGACTGCGAAGTGGTGCTGACGAACGGGGATCGTTTGTGGGTGTGGCCGCCGAAAATTTCTGGTGATCACGACGTGTTGAATCAGTTTTTGTGGGTGGAGACATTTGCACTGAAAACGTTTCGAATATATGAATCGATGGCGCTTTCATGAAGCGACTAGAGCGCATTCCAGAGATAGATGGGATAAGGTGTGTTTTACAGCGATTGCCGCGGGCAGTCGCGTTGCATTTTGGGATGCCTGGTGCAGGAAAATCACCACTGCAGTAATGTTTTCTCAATCTTTTGTAACTTTCATAAATGCAAATTCCGTGTGTGTCATCTCGATGAAGATCCAGAAATTTCTGGCTGCCCTCCACCGCATGGCTAAAGGGACAAATCTGGCCAATCTCTAATAAACCTGAAGTTGTTCTAGGGCATGATAATGCAGCTAACACAGTTGGGAGGGGTAAGTGATCTCGCGAGATCAGTTCACGCCCATTTCCTCTTTACTCGATGCTATTCACCTAGACGCTGTTGGGTGAGGTTTGGTTAGCAATGGTGGAGGGGGTCATCAGAAGAGATGCACCATCTGATGACCTAACTTGACAACTTCTAACAGCGCTCGCGCCCATCTTATAAAGTGAAATTTACAAAGTCCTCAAGCTGATCGCGATCTTTGAACGACTGCTTTTGGTGGCTCTTCTGTTCATCGCGGTTCTCACGGCACTCCCTCACCCGTCTTTCTCGTCCACGATCTCCGCCCACTTCGCGTACTTGTTGCGGGCTTGAATTCTCGCAGCTGGACGGCACCGAAGTGGGACTTTTGGCTCGACGTCTTACACCACCACCGCTTTCCGGACCGTTGCGACCATTGTAGTTACGAAAGAGCACGGTGGTGAAAGCGAAAACGAGCTAGAAGTTAACTAGGTGTAACAAGATGTAAATCTTTTATTTGATATTCACAGAGTCACTCACGAGAAAACATGCTTCCTTGTGGTTCGAAATATTCGCCAGGGAAGGGTGGAACGACGGACATTTGTACACCCATGCTGAATTACTATGTTGGTATCAGGATATATACAAGTATTATCCGGCATTACGTTCCTCGCACAGTAAAAAGACAAGTTTTCAATCATCGGGAGCCGCAGAAAATGGGCAGAAAGCACGCCAGCAAATGTGCTACCCTCGCCCACCTCCTCGCCTTGTTGCTGCTGCTCCGGAATATAAAGGGGAAGACGCGCTAAACAGGAAGGCTTAGTCCTGTAAGTCTCGGCCATTTTTTTGCCCAACCGATCATGACGAAATGTGTCTTGAGGTGACAAAGTTCGCAATGTGATTAGACTGAAAAAGAAGTCTTACAAATTGGTTAGCTGCTCTCGTTGCAAAGCGTGTTCGCTGTGCTTCCGGCGTTTCCCAGGGTGGGGGCTAGGGAAGCAGCTACACTCATTAAGTAAGCTACACCCATCAAGTTTGTGCATTTCTAGCAAAATTCGTGTTTCGTAAGCGTAACCAATAAATACGAGGGACAGCAACGGGATGGTTGAAATGACAGTGGCAGTACTACGCCCCAGAATTTTCTCTTCCAGTGCGATCCCTTCTTCTCATACTACCGACGGTCCTCTCAGGCTCTCCCAACTCTTCCCCGTTCCAGCGACCAAGTACTACCCACTATGCTGTAACCTGCTCGAAAAGCAACAGTAATATAAGAAAGAAAAAGACGTTTATGACGAAAACTTACGGTGTTGCCATGCCATACATTCTACCCATGTAAGGCGGAGAAGTCTGAGCAAAACGTCCAGAGTTGAACATTCCTCCTCTTGATTGGTACTGTAATAGCAGGCCTTCAACCGTCAAACATAGGATCGCAGCGCTCGGTGGAGATACTTCACATCCTTCGCCACCTTGGTAGACCCATCTAATGGGTGATCCCACCTAAAGGCAGTGGGCAGAATGGCTGGGCGCAAGCGGTAACTGCCAACGTGAAAGGGCTGCTAGAGGCCATATCCATTCAGACCTTCCGCCAGTGACGTTGCCACCAACCCAGCCATCGTGTCCTTTCCTCCGAAAACTGCGCCTGCGATAGGCCAATGTGCAGAAGTTTCTTGGAGTGAAGATGACGGAGCCCATAATCACAGAGGATGT